AAGATAAAATTAGGCCTCCTACATGACCTGATATTACAACATAGATTCTTTATTTATTCTGGCAAATAAGCGTAGGACAGGGGTGTCCAATCCTGGTCCTCAAGGGCCACTATCCTGCATGGTTTACTTGTTTCCCTGCTTTAACAGACCTGATTATCGGTAATGGTTGAATTACCACTTCATGTTCTGCAGAAGCCTATTAATCACCTATTGGTTTAAATTAGGTGGGTTGGAGCAGAAAAACATCTAAAACATGCAGGATAGTGGCCCATCGGGACCAAGACTGGATACCCCTGGTGTAGGAGATGCAGAAGCTCAGTGGTCAATGTTGGGGTCTCATAATACACAGGCTGTCGGTCCGAACCCAGCATGCATCAGAAAGGGCAGCCGGTGTAAAACAATTGCCAAAGCTTCAGTCATTTGCCCAATGTGGAGACCCCTGCAGGAGGAAGCAGCTGAAGAATGAAAAAAGTTGTAAATTAGTGTTAAATGTGTTAGTATGCATTTTGTGAAAAGTATAACAAAAGTCACACTGTAGGTATTATGGTATAAGGTATTGGATATTACTAGGTATAAGTATCACTAACTATATTACCACAAATATCAAGCACTCACAACTAATACTTAAGTGAACCAGCATCTTAATGCATAGCTTCAAACATATTTTTGAAACACTTGACAGGTAAGATTTACTCATAGTAAAAAACAACAACATGCTACAAGACCCTGAATTTAAAAAAAAGGTTAACAATTTAACAATAGGCCATCTTCAACCTCCATGGACATTTGGACTGGACATTATTACCTGCAGTGTTCCCTCAGTGCGGACTGAACTAGGCAAAGGGGCCTTCTCCTACTCTGCTCCTGTTTCCTGGAATATCTTACAAAAAGATCTGAAGCTCTTGACCTCTCTGAGTGGCTTTAAGAATCTGTTGGACTCCTGGCAAGAACCAATGCAGACATGTTCCTGTTTTTAGTTTTCTACATTTGCCTTATAATCTAGCTGTTTGTTACTATTTTTGCCATCTTATTTGTAATATATATATATATATATATATATATATATATATATATATATATATAGATAGATAGATATAGATATAGATATGTATGCCTTTTTATAACTGTCTATTGTTGTCACTGTTGGCCATTGTTGTCATCATTCTTTGTTGAAATCAAGTCTCTCTTGTAAATGAGTCCTTGAGGCTCAATGGGATTTACCTGTCTAAATAAAGGTTGAATGATGATAAAAGAGGACCACATGCAACAACCTTACCACAGAAATGGGAAACCAGGGCACACTTCTGAAGACAGGCCTGGGGGGAGCTTGAAAACATGTATCTGGTGGTCAAGGCTAGGCTCCAAGCCCAAAATAAACATCAGGCAGCCACCTCTATGAGGGCCTGCAACCTGCAGGGAGACCCAAGGTCAGGTGTGATGCAAGCCTAGTGGCAGGCAAGAAAAAGGCCCTGAGTGTGCAGATACCTGGTGACATAAACTGGCTCTAGTGACGTGGAATATTGCCACACTTTTAGAAAAGACATTGAGATCTCTTTGTTGGGAAACTTTTGGTCAAAGGTTATGGATGTTTTTATTGCTATGGTTGAGAATCTTAACTCTGCCCATGAACCGTATGTTTGGGTTAGCAGAGAGAGCTGGATGAGGAGCTGAGTGAGGCTGTAACATGCAGCTGGCAGCCAAGGACACCTCCAAGTTCTGTGAACTCGGCTGAACTGATAAGGATATAAAGGCGGCTCAGAGCAGATTCTTGTGGCAGGTCTTTACGTGTGTACTTTATGTATATTTGTATAATCCAGTGGTGATTTTAGCCTCTTTTTGGGAGTGCTCAAGCACCCCTAAATTTTAACTCAGCACTCATGGAAAACAAAGTTTAAAAAATAAAATAAAATTTGGGGCGGTTCTGGGTTTTGTTTATTGCATTTATTATTCAATGCAACAAAATAAATAAATTTAAAAGGTAACAGATCATTGTAAAACTTGGTTTATTTACATAATGACTTTAATTACTGGATGTCCGGCCCGTGAGCTGCTGGATTTCAGTAACTGTGGGCCCCCCTGAGCAGTTTAGTTGACTAGCCCTGCTTTAGAGGGTGAATACAGTTTATTCCATTTCCAAAACCTAAAATGAGTCTGGAAAAATGTAAAAGATGATAAAGCCCTGCGGCCGACCTCGTGAGCAGCTGAATACAACAGTGATAAACAGGAAGTACTGCGTGTTCATCTGTACGAAGGTAACCACAGGTAAATCCTCCATTTATTTTTGTCATAATTACATCGTATGCTTAATGATTAAATTAAAGGTTAATGCTTAAAGCTAGTTGTGCTTTGTTTTGTGTGCTTTAAATGTAGATATATATTACAACTTCTGGTTGCATAAGTTTAGTGATTAGTTAACAATAAACTGATTTTGTACAAAGTGTTTATTAGGTTGTGTAATGTAACGGAACGGTATGTTTGTAGCATTTTAGCTACCACATCTGTGTTGCACGCTGCTAGCTTAACGCTACTTCTTCTTGTGCTGAGCTCTCTAAAATAGTTATTGAATCAAGTGTTAACTTATGTAGGTAAACATAGATGTTTAACAACCCGTTAAAATACACCAGAATGCAGGAAATGGCATTTGCTATGTTCAAAATTTTCTGGGGGAGGACCCCAGCCCAGACTTACTCACCAGTGTGTCCCCCACATTAAGAATGCTTCTGGTGCCAATGGACACTACTGCCTCTTTTCCATTAGTAACGGTACAGCTCGACTCAGCCCGGTTCCAAGGCTTTTCCATTAGTAATGTTACGTAGAACCGGTCCCTTTTTTCAGAACCCTTGACTCTGTGATTCCAACCGGTCCGAGTAGGTACCAAAATGTGATGTCAGAACATTGTCGGTCACTGATTGGTCAGGGGGCGGAGTCACTGGATCGTTCAGAAACTTTTCACACTGATCTGCCATTTGCAATTTCACGGAACTCGGAGCTGTGGCTGGACCTATTTTAAAGATTTTAAAAACAATAATGACAACACCGTGGTCTAATGCTGAAGTGCAGGCGTTTTTTGTGCTTTGTGGCCGACAACAAAATTCAGAGTGAGCTAGATGGAGCTCTGCTGGTCTCCCCGGTCCTCTTCCCCGGAGCCAGGCAGGGCATCATCTCCCCGGCTCCCAGCTCTGCTGGACACCACGGAGGATCGTACGAGCTGCTGACTCGCAGAACCCATGACTTTCAGCTGGCCTAGTAATACCTTGGAATCCTCCCAGAAGAGCTGGAGGAAGGGGAAAGAGATGCCTGGGTCTCTCTGCTCAAGCTGCTGCCCCCACAACCCAAATCCAGAACAATCGGAAGATAATGGACTGATATGTGGACAAAAGTACTATGTAGCAGGGCATGCTCGTGAAGTGTATAGACTGCTGAAGATAGCCAAAATAATAATAAAAAAGACATAATCTCAGGAGCTCTACAATGCATTCTTTTAGAACTGCTTGCTGCTGAAAGAGGCTTCAAAATCCTGGGACAGAAATCTGAAACAATGATGATAGCTCTTTATTTCTTCTTTGAATTATGCACACTGACGTCAGTTGCTGATCCATGCAGGTATTCACCACAATGACCTGTTTTGCTATTCTCTGAGATAATTTTCTTATCTAGTTGAAGAAAATATGTTATGTTTCAACCAAAGTGCTTTCAAAATAATCAGCCAAAAAAAAAAAAAAGCAGTGTAAATGCTGAGTGCTAAATGTCTTTGCTAAACTTTTTTCTGTAGGAGCTGAAACGGAGTTGTTCATGCTAAAAGAAGCTAAACTCTAGCAAAAAGTTAAAAAGAGCAAATAAACAACAGATAGCAAATGATTTAAAGTAGCAAAGCAGTAGTCTGAAGCTATAAGTGACAAAAAAAAGCTAGCAACAAGCTAACAGTAGCTAAAGTCTGTTGAAATTTAAACTAGGAAAAATGCAGCTCAAAGATTAAAGAATCAAATATCTAGTTGAAATTAGCAGAAGGGTAACATAAGTAGAATTGACAAAACACTATAGATCATATGTGTCAAACTCAAGGCCCGGGGGCCAAATGTGGCCCTTGTCGACATCTTATCTGGCCCCCCAAGATGATGTAAAACGTAAAATACTTCTATCTCTTGACATTTTTCTGTAATCTTTGATTATGATGTCGAAAGCACAACAGAGAACATCAAATGAGACCAATCAAGCTCTTGTTGAGGAACCTGTGACCAAGAAAAGATACTGGGTATCCGATTTGAGTTAATGTAGTTTCTGAAATTAGTCCTTAGTTTGAAAAAGGTTTTAATTTTGGCCCCCTTTTGTAAGTGAGTTTGACACCCCTGCTACTTTTTTTAAGTTTCTAAAACAAAAGCAGAAGGCAAAGCATGTGTCTCCTGAATGAGCTAAACACTATGATGTATAATTAAAATAGCCCAAAGTGTGCAGAAGTTAGCTACAAATATGCATAAAAATAAATAAATCTGTCAACACAATAAATTGTTTTCCTGTTTCATTTTTCTAATTTCACACACACACACACAAAACTGCCAACTTAAAACAGTATAAATGTATGCATAGTTATGGGAAGAAGTCATATTTTGCAACTTACATGTAGGTTGTTGGTTATAACATGCACATCTTTTGTTGGTTTAACTTCTGTTGCCAAAGTTCTACAAAAGGAGTCTGACCTTCACCTCCTGTATCAGTGTAAACAACTTCCGCAAAAACTAACACAACCCACATACCTTTTTCCGAGACTAAAAGTATTTGAGTTCACTAATAATCTGCATGTCTGAGCCAGTTTCTGTCGCGCGTCACCAATGTCAACTTCCTATCGAAACTACAGGGAGCGTTCAGTTTCAGGTGTTCTGAAGCAGCGTCAACAGCGCGTTGCATTCTGGGTATTGCAGTCACCGTCCCACTCGAGCCACTCCTCTGCCGGAGAGCCTGCAGCGATTCAAACTTCCAGTCCCAAAATGCTCCGTGCTGCAGACGGAGCCGAGCCGAGAGGAGCCGCTCCATGACAGGAGCCTTTAGAAACACACTGGGAAACAAAAGAAACTATTGTAGGTTGACCTTTTCTTCCCCTGCCAGCAAGAAGTAAACAAACATCTGGTGTTTACGGTGAGACCAAACTTTCTTAATATTTTTTGCTTTTTCTTGTTAGAAACTGTAGGAAGTGGCTTAATTACACCTGTTCAAACAGAAAATGTATGTTCAGATTTTGTCATTCTGTGTCTGACCTACTTTTTTTCTGCATGAATATCATATTTAAAAAAAACAACCCATTGAACTCACTGGATTACTGGTCTGAGTGGTGAAAATGGTTTCAAATGAAATGTTTAGGAACAATTGAATGCAGTCTTTCCTCAAGGCACTTTTAACCTGAAGACATGGCCGATGCGCTTTGATCAGAGCAAGAAGCTTTGACAGAACAAACTGTGTGTCCTTGGCTTGACAGGACCAACCTGTTTTTGTGCACTGATGTAAGAAACCACATTATTAATGACTGACTCACTGACGCCACTCTTGAATAGGTTGTGTCATTTTACGCAAGCAAAAGCGACAGGATGAAAAGTTCAGGCTTTTCTTCTAAAGTTGGAAACAGTTTCAGCCTAACGGAGGCCCTGAGGACCTGAAGGACACATGCCTGAAACAGAACAATTATTACACCATCAGGAATTTGTTCAAGAGGTACCGACTAGTGTTGTCTGTCACGTTGTGTAAAAATCTGTGCATGCTTATAGATGAGTAAGTAACTAGCAAAACCGTGTTGTTTTATTGATTTATCAACTGGAATACAGAAAAATACATAACCACAGGTTTTATATGTTATTTCTTTATCCAGATGGATTAATTTCTTTGAACCAGAATGAAAAAGACAACTTGTGCAAGAATAGAAAATGTACATACTGGATTTACAATGGATTTTTCCCAGTTTATAACTTATATTAGGGTTAGAGTTAGGTAAACTATTGTTTTTAAATCATTGCTTTTTTATTCTGTTTTAACAACACAGCCACGGAAATATTAGCTAATCTGCATTCATGCAATAATCAAAATCCAGACATTTTCATTTATTTAATTAATTGCTTGACTTGTTAGAGTTAAACGATTTGACCCAAGCAATTTTGTGTACTTTTTCCTTTCCATTTCACCATTGGAAAACACTTTAAATAAAACAAACCATAATTGAAAACGTTGTTAAATATAATTTCTGTCTCCAAGTGTAGGTGTGCAGAAAAGCTAATTTGGTGAAAATGCTGTAACAGTATGCAGAATATATATATATATCATTTCTACTGGATGCAAAATGGCATGTTAAGTAATGTTATTCTCCCTGTTGTGTGACATAGAGAACTTAGGTAAGGGGGTAATTTAACTAAACATGGATGTTGTTTACAGATGAAAACATGGCAGCTGAAGGTGCTAAGTCCTTCCATCGCGTTGGAAGTCTCATGCGGAGTAAATCTGAGAGCACACTGATTGATCTTAGTGATGCTTGTCCAACCAGTGACAACCTGAAAGGTAAAATGCTCAGTTTCAGAATCAAAATATCACAACTTATACAGTACCGTGCATAATGTCCATCTTATATGTCTTTATATTCTACTTCCAAAGGAGACAGAATTTCTTCTGAACTCTTAAAGTTGTCTTGATCAGTCGCCCCTCAAGTTTTCTGGAGGTTTTTCAAAGTTTTTCTTTTGGGGCTTTGTCTGCTTTTTCCACAAACTTTCTGCATATTTTCAGATAAAATGAGCAGATATTAGACAGAAAATTTTCATTTGGAAGGCAACTGTAGTCTGAGCTATGAGTCATTTAAGAAAATAGAAGAGCTTCTAAATTCTGTTGATCAACCAGTGTTGGGTCCACAAATACTAAGCAAAAACAAACAAATAAATAATTTTAAAAAACAATTAAATGCTTGTCTAATATAAAAAAAGGATTGTAAGCTCAGTCATACAGGTAGATAACAAAAGATTAAATCGTATCATCTGGACCAGTTTCTTTAAGTGAAAAAAAGTTTAATCTCCCATCCAGAGGACTTATTCAGTCTACGGCCTGCCAAACACATCTGTCCCATAAGTAGCCTTCACTGCTGTGTTTAAAAGTCTACTTTTGAGATTCCAACAGGAGGTTGGCTTGAAACACAGCAGTGAAGGCTACCTGTAGGATGGATCTGGTTTGCAGACTGAAGAAGTCCTCTGGATGGGTGACAAAACGTTTCTCACTTAAAGAAACTGGTCCAGATGACATGATTTAACCTTTTTTATTATTACTTGTCTAATGTCTTTAGTTGAATATATAAGAAATATTCAATAAAGCACAATTTTACAAATAGGATTTTATCACCAACATTGTGATTAGAGAGCTATTGACTCTAAACTTAGCATACAATAAACGATCAGCTGAAGAAGGATGGATCTCTCAGGTCCGGTGTCCCAACGTTGCTGTGTGCTTTTTCTTTTTTTGTAAAGACCTAGTTTTCAGATTCTCTGTTAATCTACTGTATGAACTTTTAGATCCGTCACTTCTTTTATTCTTCCACATGTATTGTTTTCTAATTTTACAGCACATAATGCAATGTCTTGATCAGGTTATAAAAGGAGCTAAAATCTAAAGAACAACTTTAAAGACCTTCAAAAGCTGAAAAAGACCAGTAAACTACTTTAAAAGACAACATGAAAGTCTAGTTTATTGAAAACAAAGAATAAAATTAAGAGGTTGCCAAAAAAATTGAATGAGACATTTGCTCAGTATTGTAAATTATCTAACAGACCTCACAACCAAACTTTCATTTTTCAAAGGTGGCTTACTAGGAAGGACACAAACGTCGGACTGGCAGCTTTCACATCCAGAAGTTTTAAAGTCATCTCAAATACAAAACCCCTTTTGGAAGAAATTATCTGAATCAAACCCATTCCTTGATGACATTGTTCACAACAACACAGACAAACATGATTCCAACACATCAGATGGGAAACAAGATAGTACAGGACATCTGGACATTAACAATGAGGATGCCTATAGCACTTCTTCTGATGAAGGCAACGTGGGGAACTTTTTGGAAAACAAGCACAAAGTGAGTAATCGTTCTGGCAGATGGAGAAGTGCTTCAGACATCTTGGACGATCTGGAAAGAAAAGTGCCAAAAAACTGTTTCAAACCACCTGAACCTGTGCTGAACCCAGACTTTGAGTGGCTGAAGAATGACAGAGAGGCCTATAAGATGGCCTGGCTGAGCCACAGACAGCTAACTAGATCATGCTTGGACTTAAAAGTGATAAGCCAGAGCCCCGGATGGTCTCAGACCCAGGCCACTAACTTTCAAGTTATCTCCAATATCGACCACAGAGGAGGATCAGTTCAGTTACCAGAATCTAAAATCATCATCCACATTCCCCAAGGATATGTGCCCCCTGGAGAAGTGCAGGAAGTTACACTGAAAGCAATGTTGGACCCTCCTCCTGGACTCAACAACAACTACATAACAACCATGAGTCCACTTCTAGAGGTGCTCCTTAGCTACATCAACACAAAGGAATGTTTGTCTGTGGAGATGAAATTGTCTGGAGAGGTCAAGGACGATCCGGAGTGTCAGGTGATGACCACTGTGTATGGACTGGTGTCCAACAAAAGAGAGGGGCCATATGTGAAAATGAGCAACTGTGACATTCACAAGAACATGATGCACATGAAACTCCAGGACTTAAAGACACATTTTTTTGCAATTGCTGTTGCAGAGACTATGGTGCTAAAATCACCTGCCACATCTGTTTGGGATTACCTGGACCGCCACATTGCCATCGCCATCTATGGCCCGAGGTTCATCCATCCTTCCTTCAAGGTTGTAATAGTTGTCTGCTGTCATGAGGATGTTCCACCTAAGCTTCCCTTTTCAGATATCTGCAGGGGCAACAAAACCCTGCCTCCACTTGTGCTGCAGCTCTGGGGTAAACATTCTTTTAAGCCAGATGTACTGAATGACTTTTCCGTTGAGGTTGGCATCAAAGGCTCAGTGTTTAAAATCAAACCTGAGGATAAAGTAAAACAAGTGAGACAGAAAAGGCTCAAGGTAGGGACTGTTTTGCATCTTCCAGTTGCGTTATCTTGTTCCGGCACCACAGAAATGACTCCCTTTGTGTTGGATGTACAAGTGAAGGAACCAAGCTTGTCTTCAGCAACTTCCCATTTCCAGGTGCCTTCTCCTCTTGCAGCACCCATCAGATCTGAGAAGAGGTTGCCAAGGCATGTGGAAAGAAAGACAGAAATAGCAAAGACCATGCCTATACCTGAAGAAAGTGATCCTGATTTTACAAAATTCCCAAACAAACCTGTGGATGTTCAGTGGTATGGTGTTGCCCTGAAGTCAGTCATTCGTCAGCCTTATGTGGATTACCTGCTGGAATACTTCAAAGGTGACACTGTGGCGCTTCTTTCCAAAGACACTGTCAGGTCAGTTGGTAATTTCAAGGTCAAAGAGTGGTACATTGGATTCCTAAGAGGAAAAATCGGCTTGGTTCACTATAAAAATATCAGACTCATTACCAAGGATCAGGTGATTGGCCTCACCAGTGTTGATTCTTGCTTCACCACAGAGATCCTCTTAACCAACATGACGGTGCCCTTCAAGAAGCTGACATACATGTATTCGGCCATCCAGACGTTGGTCACTGAACACATCACAAGCTGGAGAAGTTTTGCAGATGCTTTAGGGTATAGAGGCCAGGCTGTGGACACAATTACACGTAGAAATGCTGAAACTGAAGCTGATAAAGTGTCCAGTGTTCTGGAAAAGTTAAAAGAAGATTGCCATACTGATAAGGACAGGAAAAAGTTTCTGCATGAACTAATACTGGTAGGTATAAAATAATGATATATTCCATAATAAACGTTTCTCAAGTGATCACAAAATAACTGATCACATTACTCTATTACAGAGGCTTTATCATATTTGGATGATAGAAATTGTTATAAACAGGCATAAATCATATTTTCTGACAGATTATAGTTTTTTTTTGTGCTAATAATCAATCTTATCCATACACCAGAATTATCTTGGAATTCTCCTAGGTTTTGTGCTTGGACTAATACTCTTTACACTATATATTATTATTAGACCCCATGGTATAAATTTATATTGTTGTGCTGATGATACTTTGTTATATTTATCAGTAAAGCCTGGTGAATCCGATCATACTAGTTCAAGTCAAGTTTATTGTCATTCACATCACATGTGGTACATGAGGTGGAACAAAATTATGCACTTAGGGTCTCAGTTACAGCCAACAATAGCAAAAATATAAAGTGTAAAAAGAAACAGTACATAAGGATCTAAGCTATACACCAAGATATAAGCTAAACAAGTGCCAAACTGTACGCTAAAAGATCTAAGATATATGCTAAACACTAATAATGTAAAACAATATGGCGTAACAACAGCAGCCTGAGAATACTACAAGCATGTCTTGAAGACATAAAACCCTGTATGACACCTACTGGTCATGTTCTGCTTTTAAATACAAATGAGAGAGAGGTTGGTGTCATTTGATGTGAGCACTTTAGGAACAAACTGTGTAGCCATTCAGTCACTCTGGATGACATTAACATGGCCTCAGGTACTAAAGAAAAGAATCTTCATTCATCATTGAACATCATTCTTGTTCACCAGGAATTGTTCTTTAACTCCCACATAACTATGTAATGTTAACAGGGCCGCCTTCTTCCACCTACACATTATTACTAATGTTCGAAACAGCCTTCCCCAAATTGATGTAGGAAATCTAGTCCATGCATTTTTTTTTTTTTTACTTCCGGCTTAATTATTTAATTTATCATTAGGATTTCCAAAAATAAACTGAAGTGATTTGTTTTCACTTTCATTGTTTTTGTAACAGCTCATTTGTGCTTGTTGGTTTTGTCAAGGGGCTGCTGAAAATGAACACTGTGCATCTTGTGGCAAAGGTCATTCAGAACACGGTCATTCTGTCTACTGCCGTGGAGTTGGGGATCCGATGGCGGGAGCTTGCTGAGAAAATGGAAAAACTGTCCAGCTCACACATAGCTGGTTACGAAGCACCGCATAGAGAGAACAATGGTGAAATTGGTTCTCAGGTAAGTCGTGATTCAAACCTGGTTGGGTGGTTGTGTTTTCATCTCAGGTGAACGATAAGACTAATGAGCTGGTATTTCAGTCACATGTGCTGCAGCAAGAAAGCTTCCAAACATGCAAACTGAAATGAGCATTTAAAAACAAAACTAGATTTTATACTGAGGGCTGCCTCAGTAAGTAGAAAGTTCTCAAAGCCCCACTAGTATGACAGTGATATTTGAAAGTGGCATAAACCGACAGTCTTCTTACAATTATTTCAAGTTATAGTTCTTTTTTGTCATCAGGATTAAACACAGAACTTGGATTTATTCAGTTCTTCGTGTTTTATCATAAAAATAATCAACAACAATCTTCTTGTCCATTGCATGTTTGGTCAAAGGGGTGCCTGGTAAGATATTTTCATGCTTCACTGCTGAGAGCAGCATCACATACTGAACCACACACTGCAGTCTCGGCTCGTCTTCTGGACTAAAACAACTGAATACAAATTTGAGATAGTCTGAATTAAATGTTCTCAGTTTTGTACCTTTAGTTGCTTGCGGGCACTAACTGACTGCTGCTTAACTAGCCAGTAGAGCATTGGTTAACCACTCAAGAGGTTCTAGAAATAGTCTGCACCTGACCAAAGTGCAGAAGACCAAAGTATAAAGTAAATTTTTTTCATTAGACAGATCGCCACTGGAGCTAGTACCACAGTTTGACAACTATGGCTGTAGATTATTCTGATCTGATAGAATTTGTACCATTTGGGTGGAAATGTGTTACAGTTTATTACACTATTAAATCTCATTATTATATAATGCCTGGGTTGTTTTTTTTCAGTCCATGTGGAAGCCTGCCTACGACTTTTTGTACTCTTGGAGTCTGCGTTACGGAGACCGCTACAGAGACATGATCCAGGATCTGCATCTGGCCCTGGATAAGATGAAAAGCCCCGTCACCAGACAGTGGAGACACCTGACTGGGGCACTCATCACAGTGAACTGCCTCAATGTCTTACAAGACTCTGCTTTCCCCAAACCTTAAACCTTTTACACTCTGTTGAACAAACAAGAATTGCTAAACATGTTAAGCCTTGTGCAAAATCCATCCATCCATCCATTATCTTTTACCCGCTTCTTCCATTTTGGGTCACGGGGGTCGCCGGTGCCCATGTCCAGCAATCACTGTGCGAGGGGCGGGGTACACCCTGGACGGGTCACAAGTCCATCACAGGGCACTCCCACTCTTTCCTTCTAAATTATTGTAATTTATTTCCAATGCTCATTGTTCTTCCAACTCTTCATAAACTGAAGAGCAGGTTTTTAAACTTACTTACCGTATTTTCCGGCATATAAGTCGCACCTTTTTGCATAAATTTGCAAGTCCTGCAACTTATACACCAAAGCGACTATTAAACATTTTTTTCCTCATATTTATAACAAAATTTTTGGCTGAGATTTGATGATTTCATTCATTCTGACATGAAAAATATTAAACATTACCATCTGCAGCCGCTAGAGGGCCCTCAAGTGTTAAGGCAAACCAAGTGTCTCATTAATAGGTAAAAGTGATTATTAATGAGACACTTGGCTTGCCATAGTGGTCACCTTTGGTCTCGCTCCAGAACTGGAGCAAACATCAAATCAGCTTAATTTCACCGCGCCGCCCAGGCAAAATGCAGCTGATTTGACCATTAAAGTGCATTTATTAAGGAAAAGATCAACTGAGACACACCTTTGCTATAATGTCAAACAAACAAATAATTGTTTTTAGGTGGATATCTTGTTAATGAAAAAATGCACAGCGAGTCCTCCCTCTGTACGCTCCAGCATCCACAAATCAATTTTTGAAATGCAGCTGATTTGACCAATAAAGTGCATTTAATAAGGAAAAGTTCAACTGAGAAACACTTTTACTATAATTTCAAGCAAACAAATAATTGTTTTTAAGTGTTGATCTTGTTAAATTCTTGTTAAAGTCCCGCGGCCGCCATTTTGGCAGCCAATCGTTTTTTGGCACAACACCGGCCCACGTTTCCGGGTGGTCAGCGGTGACGCATAATAGATGCGACTTATACAGCGAAGCAACTTATTTATGTTTTTCCTCCCACTTTATTAGACATTTTTGGACTGATGCGACTTAAACGACAGAGCGGTGTGTACGGTGGAAAATATCGTAATACATTTTCTAAGATGATGCATCAAATCAGCGGTTGATTTTATTTTTTTTAGTGTCCATTGTGTTTTTATACTTTCTGTGAGTATGTGATCATTAAAAAAATATATATAAAGTCTTTTTTTATAACATACAGTTGTTAAATTGATTAAAAATTGATAAATGTGAACAGGGTTGTTATACTTCTCAAGACAAAAAGTATAAGCTGACAAAAGTTTTATTTTTTAAGTTTGTGTAAAAAAATGTTTAGTCCAAGTGAAAGTTGCATGATGCTAGGAAACAAAATATTGTTTTTCTTTAAAATATTAGTGATATTTTTATACTGTGATGTTTGAAATATGCAGATTTTTAATAAAGTCTGCAGTGGAGTCATTATGTCTTTATTTTGTTGTAAACTTTTATTTCTAACATTTACGAGACTCTTATTGCCTTGTACTGCACTTAGTGCCTTACGTGAACAGATATGAATGGTGTTCGATACTGAAATGAATGTTGGAAGTTAAAAACAAAACTTTCACAGTTTATTTGTAAGAATGATGATATTGTAAAGGAAGATTGAAGTTACAGTAAGATTTTTTTGTGATTGAATGTTAAAAATCTTCCTTTTTTTAAAATTAAAACTAATTTGAGCACTTAACGAGCATGGCTTCCTTTCATACCACTCAAACAAATGGTTTTGTGTTTCCTGTCGATTTTCTTTGTGTCTTTTCTTTACACTGTTTGCTGAAGTTGATTTTGTCTGAGCGCATTTTGAGCTGATTGATTCTCAGACTGGATCTTATTTGAAAGCACAATGGGATAAACTTAAACAAGCAGGTCAAAAGGATTTATGCAGGACTGTGCAAATTCCATCTTCGATTTAAGAATAAAATCAAACAACCATGGCCTAATTAATTACTTACCAATCAGATTTTAGGTTAAAAACATTTATTCACTTCAGCTTGACTAGTTTTTATTAGCTGTGAAAAATAAAAATATTGGGAAATGTGTTGCCTATTTTCAATTAAATAATTTAGACAAGGAATGATACCCATATGTGGCACGGTGGTGCAGTTGGTAGAGCTGCTGCCTCTCAGCGAGCAGGTTGCCCTGGTTTGAATCCCGGCCAGGGGCCTTGCTGTGTGGAGTTTGCATGTTCTCTGTGCATGCGTGGTTTTCTCCGGGTACTCTGGTTTCCTCCCACAGACCAAAAACATGCATGTTAGGCTGATTGGTAACTCTAATTGTCTCTAGGTGTGAGTGAGAGAGGGAATGGTTGTTTGTCTCTATGTGTCCCTGTGATGGACTGGAAACCTGTCCAAGGGTGTCCCTGCCTCTTGCACAGTGACTGCTGGAAATAGGCACCAGTTCCCCTGCGACCAGGAAAATAAACAGTGGGTGAAATGGATGGACTGTTGGACGGATGGATGATATATAATCAAATCTCAATATATTAACTTTTAATCCCTCAACTCTTCATAGGTAAAGCAGAGAACCTGTTTAATCCTCAGAGCTCGAAGCTTTCAGTCCAGCAGGTGGAGTCATTGTATCAGTGGTTTGTCAGCTTTCTATACTTGCTCTCATTATTTCAGCTTTATGGTCAAATAACACTTTAATGACCAGATAGAAAAACGCCTCAGAGAAACAAAGTACAGTCAGGGCCAAACTATAACAGTTTATGACCTGAATGTTGATTTCATTCTTCAGAGTGCAGTTACCCAAAACATTTAGCCACAAAAAATATTCCTGTTTTTTATTTTATTTGACTTTTCATTTTTTTATATATATATTATACTGATAAATACATTTACACACAATGCTATTCGTCTAATTTACTTAACCCTGATGTAAAAAGTGAGCACGCTCCAAGTTTGGCTTTATTTTCTGGCGCTCGCAGCCACAAGAGGCATCCACAAATCACTGTTATGAACAGAAGCATTCCTCTGTCCTCCAGGGTATATAAGACCTCATTCGGTTTGCCTCTGTGATATATGCTCAGGGCAAGAAGTCATTTAGCTTTTCAATTTATTAGCATGGTGATTTATGCCCACCCCGTCACCTTCCTCCTCTCCTCTTCTCCACCTCTTTCCGATTGGACTCTTATAATTTGGTAACAGATGATGTGAAAGAGGAGAAAGTTCAGCAATTAGAACAAATCTAAGCAGGAACGAGGGCTTACAGTTTCTGTGGCGACACTTCATTTATCACTAATGTTTTAGTCACTCTGTACAAGATTAAATGCTAACAACAGCAAACCTGCTGCACTCTTTATGCATGAAGGGAAGGAAACCTGATCACAGCAGAACTCCTACAGCAGAGGTCTCCACAAAGATTTGGGTTCTGTTTGTCTTCGTTGGAATATCTTCTTAAAGTAAACCTCTGAGATACGTTGTATTTAAAATGCATAATGAGTGGAAGCAAAACTTGTAAAGTAAAACAGATTCTAAACAGCTGCAAGGAATTTCATGCAAAGCTATCATCAAATAATATAAATGAGTCCTTGTAAATGACTCTTGTAAATGAGTCCTCGAGGCTCAATGGGATTTACCTGTATAAATAAAGGTTGATTGATAAAGCCGGCTGCAGCCCTGAAAACGTACTACTTTTTAAATGTTAACTGTATCTATATTAAGGTTTGTTTTCAGGTTGTTGATTGTCTTTCTTCAGACTGTCAGCCTGCATGCAGCTTCTTCCCATGAAGAACCACCGCAGGGAAGGAGGAAGCAAAAATGACTCACAGAGAAAAGAAAACAACTTGAAGTGTTTGGCAGCTTGTGGAGTGGTTTTGTGAGTAATCGCCACATCCTTGGACACCTCACTTTATGTTCACCCTCTCTTTTTCTCCACAAGTCAGACAGAAATAATCTGACTACCTTCATGGAGAAACACTGTGGTAATAAAATTAAGAAAAACTAGAGAATTAGCATATGTTTGTGAAAATGCTGGAGGCTGAAATACTTTGTTAAAAACTGTTGAATAATTAATTCTTAACTGAATTGTTGAAAGCAGACTAGAAGCTTAAATCACCAAAACATATCAGCAAAACTGTAACTAAGTGCTGAAATCAGAAAAACCCTTGCAAAAAGTTGAAGTTACCATATTGTCTGATGTAAATGTCCCACCGCCCTATAAGTTGCATCAGTCCAAATATGTCTAATAGTGGAAAAATCCATAAATATGTCGCTTGGCCATATACTTCGCATCTATTACGCGTCACCGCTGATGTGACGCGTTTGTTACGTGTCACCGCTGACAATCCAGAAATGTGGTCCGGTGTTGTGCCAGAAATCGACTGGTTGCCAAATGGCGGCCGCTGGAGCGTGAACGGGAGGACTTTAAGAAGAATTTAACAAGATTAACACTTTAAAACAATTATTTGTTTGTGCAACATTTGTGTCTCAGTCCAAGTGAGCTGGACGAAGGTGACCGCTGTGGCAAGCCAATTGTGTCATTAATAGCCACTTTTTCCTATTACATGACAAAACGGCATTCCATACTACTCGAGTGCCATCTAGCGGCTGAAAATGGTAGTGTTCAATATTTTCAGTCAGAATTAATGAAAACAGTCATATCTCAAACAAAAATTGGTTATAAGGAAAAAATCCATAAATACGTCGCTTCAGCATATAAGTTGCAGGTCATGAAAATTATGCAAAAAATTTTGACTTATAGGCCAAAAAATATGGTAGCTAACTGGTAGTGAGAAGCTAAACATAGCTAAACTGTAGGGATGAGCTAAAAACAGCAAAACTTTAGCTGAAAGCAAACAAAATAATACTTTGTAGTTAAAAGCTAAAAATGAGCAACATTATAGCTATAAAAGTAAAATGGGCAAATTTGTAGCTAAAAACTAAATGTAATTAAACCATAACAAATCCAAAATAAGCTAAACAGTAGCTACAAGCAAAAATAAGGAAAACAAAAGAGAATTAGTAAAATTAAAAACTTAAATCAACATAGCCAAAGTTAAAAGC